CATGTGGGAGTCCAGCACCCTTAAATATGACGCCACCTGCTGGCCCCGGGAGTAAGAGTATTGTGGGACTTTGACAAATGTATACCAACTGATAACCATGACAGAGCCAAACACATAAATCATACTTGTATTTCAGTTCCAAGGTTAAGTTTTAACAGTTTTAAAATTCCAAAAGTCCTGGGGACCAGCAGTTAGCGTAAGGGCTATGTCGCTGGACTCCCCTGTAGTCGACCGTGGTTCGAGTCCCGGACCCGGTGGCTTCAACTCACACCGGGCGCGTGTGCGTGCATGCCCAAGATCCCGAGAGGAGAATGGAGGAGAAGCGATTGCGGCGTGGCCATCCCCCCTGGGGAGTGATTTCCTGCTTTCTATCTCTCTGTCTCTCTCTGTCTGTCTGGCAAGCGCACGCGCCCTATAGCAAAAACCTCTCCAAAAAAAAAAAAAATTCCAAAAGTCCTGGGGACCAGCAGTTAGCGTAAGGGCTATGTCGCTGGACTCCCCTGTAGTCGACCGTGGTTCGAGTCCCGGACCCGGTGGCTTCAACTCACACCGGGCGCGTGTGCGTGCATGCCCAAGATCCCGAGAGGAGAATGGAGGAGAAGCGATTGCGGCGTGGCCATCCCCCCTGGGGAGTGATTTCCTGCTTTCTATCTCTCTGTCTCTCTCTGTCTGTCTGGCAAGCGCACGCGCCCTATAGCAAAAACCTCTCCAAAAAAAAAAAAAATTCCAAAAGTCCTGGGGACCAGCAGTTAGCGTAAGGGCTATGTCGCTGGACTCCCCTGTAGTCGACCGTGGTTCGAGTCCCGGACCCGGTGGCTTCAACTCACACCGGGCGCGTGTGCGTGCATGCCCAAGATCCCGAGAGGAGAATGGAGGAGAAGCGATTGCGGCGTGGCCATCCCCCCTGGGGAGTGATTTCCTGCTTTCTATCTCTCTGTCTCTCTCTGTCTGTCTGGCAAGCGCACGCGCCCTATAGCAAAAACCTCTCCAAAAAAAAAAAAAATTCCAAAAGTCCTGGGGACCAGCAGTTAGCGTAAGGGCTATGTCGCTGGACTCCCCTGTAGTCGACCGTGGTTCGAGTCCCGGACCCGGTGGCTTCAACTCACACCGGGCGCGTGTGCGTGCATGCCCAAGATCCCGAGAGGAGAATGGAGGAGAAGCGATTGCGGCGTGGCCATCCCCCCTGGGGAGTGATTTCCTGCTTTCTATCTCTCTGTCTCTCTCTGTCTGTCTGGCAAGCGCACGCGCCCTATAGCAAAAACCTCTCCAAAAAAAAAAAAAAAATTCCAAAAGTCCTGGATTTCATAATAAAGAATAAACAGAAAGCATTATTTTTTATATACAGTATGCATTATCAAGGCTTTGTTCATTACATAAGCTTGCCTAATTATTATATTACCCTAGGGAAGTATAAACACCCTCAATTTATGAATTTTCCTTTTAATAAGATAACAAGACCCTATTATCATTTTATCATAAGCACATTTTACTTATTTAATATGTTTATGTAAAATGTAAAAATTCCCATTTTACTGATGAAGAACTTGAGGCTCAAACATGGTTAGAGGTTGTTCACGTCCCCTAACTAGTGAGTGGTAGAGCAAGGGGTTGAATTGAAGTATGTATCGTGCCAGAGCTCACCCCTGGTCTATACTGATGTCATGGTTCATTATCAAGTAACTCACTTTTTGCTACCTTTTGATGGTATTATGGGTCAAATTATACTTTCACAGGCATATAAAAATGCATAGAACAACTCTCTACTAAAACAAAGAGTATCTATGTAACTTCATGTTATTTTCATAGCCCAATAGCTATGAAACATTCTCCAGTGTTCAATCATGTGATGCTATCTACATGGTACTTAATAGAATGAATCATGTCTATTCTTGAGTTTTTTTGCTACTAGATTAGCTTAGCTATTAAATAGTGTATTTACTCTTAGATTGAAACATGAATATCAGGAAACTTAAATTTCTGATTTCTAATCTTACTTCAGGATGTTTTTGTTTTTAGTGACTTTCAGGAAAGAAAAAAATATCATAGTTCCCCATAGTAGGTGTACTATTTTTCTAGGATTAAACAACAGAAATATGTTTTCTCACAGTTCTGGAGGATAGATGTCCGAAAGCAAGGTATCAGCAGAGTTGGTCCTAAGGTCAGTGAGGAGGATCTGTCCCAAGCCTTTGTCCTGCTGGCAGTTTTTGGCCTTCCTTGGCTTGTAGATGCATCACCCCAATCTCTGCCTTCTTCTTCACATGGCGTCCTCTCTCCGTGAATGTCTGTCTCTGTGTCCACATTTTCCTTTTTATAAGGACAAGAAACATATTGGATTAGGGCCCTCCCTAATGACATCATCTTAATTCATTATTTGCACAGACCCTATTTCCAAACAAGATCACATTCATAGAAACTGGAGGTTAGGAATTCAATATCTTTTTTTTTTCGGGGGGGAGGGAGGATACAATTAAACACATAATAGTAGGCTTTTTTTTCTGAGATAGTAGATTTGAAAATGCTTTCATAATGGTTATATTCAAAGGTTTGCAGTTTATCAAAGCATGTATGAATATTTGTTTTGGAATAGGGCTGACATTTGCATTATTTTGTTCTTATACAAAATTTTAGGGGGGGGGGAGGTCAGCCAGCGGCATGGTGGTTGGGGTGTTGGATTTTCACATGGCTAAGAGTGGTTTGAGACCCAGGCCTGGTGACTTGAAAATCACAGCAAATAAATGAATAAATAGATAAATAAATAAATGGATGTTTAAAAAATTTTAGCAAGAACAAACTCGAGAACTGTCATGGATAGTTTTCAATAAAATAAAAATGACTGTCATCAAAATGCACGAAGTAGGTAATGCATATATGAGATGAGTGTAGCTGGTGCTTTGGTGAGGTCGGGATTTGACTAGGCGTGCAGAGCGACAGGATGTTGCAGAAACAAAGAACACGAGTTAAGGTTCTGACGCAGGGCGTATTTTATGTGTCGTGAACTGTGGTGGTGAGGGGAGGCATCAGGGCCAGTTATGTGGACCAGGAATCCTGGTTCAGGCCCTTTAGGGATAATGTCAGTTTTAGCTATCAACCTTCCAAGAGTTGCCGTAGAATTTATTTCTGATTTCATTATGTAGAAAAGTTGGAATATACCAAGAAGAAGAAAAGCATGACCTGTACCCCTACTAGTCATTATTAATATTTTGGCATCTTCACATACTTTTTGTCAAATTCCTGCCTTGTTTCTTCATTGCTATTGGAACAAATAAACAGTTTCCTAAAATAAATCAGAGTCCAGGCGCTCCCTGCATATGCATCTGTATTTGATATCTAGCAGGTACCAGCCTTAATGAGCATTAGTGAGGAGTTGGGTCACCTTAATGTTACATACCATTAGGTCAAGGCAGGTGGGCTTTGTGTGATTCAGTCCTTTGCCTTCATTTTTTGTCTTTTTTTTTCAAAAAAATTTAAAAAAATTATTTTATTTAACTTTATTTTTTATTTTATTTGACCAGTGAGGGGCAGAGTGAGGAAGACAGAGAGGGAAAGTGAGAAAGCAAGTCACCAGGTCTGGTGCTCTAACTATAGGTGACCATATGGGAGTCCAGTACCCTTAACCACCGTGTCACCTGCCAGCCCATTTTTAAAAATATTTTTTAAAAAATGAAAAAAAATTATTTGTTTAATTTTATTTATTATTATTGTTTTTGAATTTGCTATAGGACATATTAACTCACCAGAGAGAGAGATAGAGATAGCTAGATAGAGGAAGTGAGAAAGTGAGCTGCCTAGTCTGGGACTCAAACCATGGTAGGCCATGTGGGAGTCTACTACCTTAACCACTATGCCACCTGCTGGCCCAAATCTTTGTATTAATTTTTTTAATTGCCAGAGAAACAGAGAAAGAGAGAAGATGAGGAAGAATGAACCCCTCCAGTGTAGTGTGGTCATGCCTCAATTCCTTTTCCATTCCTCCATCTTGTTGGTATTTGGAACATGAATACACACAAGGCAGGCATGTTTTTCACACTACCAGGGCTGGGATTTGAACTGTGTTCACTATGTGGGACTTACTTACCTCTCTTTTCTACTAGGCCATGGGGCCAACGAGCAATTTTTTTTTTTTTTTGATTATGTCTTACTGGAGAGAGATATAGAGAGAGAAGAAAGAGAAAGTAAGAAAGCAGCCCCCCAGGGGACTGGTCTGTTTTTCAAACCAGCAGGTCCAGGACTTGCTCCATACAGTAGGCCATGTGGATCCAACCACCTTAACAACCATGCCACCTGCAGGTCCCAGTCAAGATCTTTTTTTTTTTTTTTTTTTCCCAGTCAAGATCTTTCTAATGATCACTTCACTCTCTTGGTTTAACTCCTTTATTCAAGATTAAGGTCCAACTTTGGAGCTTACGAGGCATGTCTGTAATCCTTCTCATGCCCTTGTCTTCTCATCTCCTTTCTCAACACTACTTGAAATTCTCAGATTGTTTGTACCTTTCTTCACCTCCATCATTTTTCATCTCTTCCCTCCACTAAGAGTACCCTTTCTCTGCTTGTCCCTTTGTCCAGATGCTACGTAGCATTGGCACTCATTGCAAATGACATTTCCTCTTGGAAGTCTTTTAAGCCAGTCTTTTTGCTCTGTTAGGATCATGAACACTTTCTGTAAAACCTCTTAAGGAATTGATTGTAGGGGATTATAGTGGCCAGTTTTCATCCCTTCCTTACTGCCCTGAGCTATTCAGATGCTCTGCTAGGCGCTGTAGAAATTGGAAACCAAAACAAAGAGGAGTTTCAGGAGTTTGTGGCCTAGTGGAGGACTGCTCTATATGTAAATACATATGTGATTTTTTTCTACCAATTTTGGTTAGTTGCAGGGAAATGGTGATAAGGAATATAAGGAAGGATTATTTAGAAGAAAATCCCTGTTCGACCCATGAAAACGGAATCGTGACTGGAAAGGTTTGTGTAGTGCCTGAAGGTTAATAAAGTGTATTTGTTTCCAGGTGGCTGTGGACCTACCTCACAGGTCGAGGCAGGTGTTCTCACTCTTCCTATTCCAACTTCCTTACCTCTCCCTACAAGACGTGCCCCGGAGCCTCAGCCCCGTGGTTACTACCACACCGCGGTATGATGCTTTATTTTCTCACTTTATCCTTTCTGTTCTACACAGGAGCTGGGTTATTAGAATGTAGCTGTTTGTTTTCATAAACAACTATGGAGAACTAAAAGAGGGATGTCTCAATAACTTCAATATTGGGATATATTTTATATCGTGTACTATGCCTTTTTAAATTTATACCTGTTCATAATAACCCCAAACAGGGCCTTGCTCATGATAGGCACTTAGTACTGCAATTTTATTTGAATTATATCTAGTTGATAAGTGCTTCTTATTGATTTTTAACAGTTTTTAATCTAATTTTTTATTCCCCTAAATAATAAAGAAGTACATAACATTCATTTTACTTACACTTGTAAACAATGCCTTGCAGTAATATTTAATCAGTTCCTCAATTCTTATGACAGAGCCTCAAGTAGGAACTGATGAAATCCCGTATCAGGAGTCCATAGCTGTTTTATTATAAGACTTTTTATCAATAAGAGTGAACACTGTAGCTAGTAACGAAAGTATTTTTTCTTCATGAAAAGTGGAGGTATGTTTCTGAATTTTGGGAAATGTCAAAGTAATTTTGGCTATAGTCATACTCTGTTTAATGCTATTGAGAATATTGCTAACATTAACAAAAATATTCTGTAATTTCCTCCGTTATTGCTACTGGTGATGAGGGATGTGAAGTTGGCATGCTTTCATGTTTTGTGCATTACCATTATACACTTCTGATTTTATATGTCAGAAGCAGTCTTTGTTTTAGCTAAGACAGTGGAGAACATTTTTAGTTAGGGATAGGAACAGAGGTCAAATTGATTACATGCATATTATGTTGGTGATATATAGATGATATGTAGAATACAGTGAATGTATTTGAGTAAATACACATACAATTATTTTCTGTTTTTAGCATTTGCTATAAGGTACAGGTGCTTTCCAGAGTCGGAGAGAGAAAGTAAGAAATCACCCCCCATGGGTGGAGAGAGAAAGTAAGAAATCACTCCCCATGGGGAATGTCCATGTCCCAATTCCTTCTCCAGTCTTCTCTTAGGATTTTTCCATGTCCTAATTCCTTCTCCAGTCTTCTCTTAGGATTTTGGGTACACATGCATATGCACCTGGTATGTTTTTCAAGCCTTTGCATCTGGGACTCAAACCTTGGAGTTGGCCATGTGGAATCCAGTGTTTTAACCTCCATGCCACCTGCTGGCCCCATATATAATTTTTAATATAAGTTGTATATGGTATTTATATATTTCAGTTTTTTTTTCCCCATCAGTATATAGTAATGTAAGTATAGTGGAATGCAGTGGATTAAAGGCATAGATTTCATTTCTATAATGATTATTTGATTTTGTTATTTTTTGTGACCACTGGTAATACTCGTCTTGCAGATGTAAAGCTGTTGTTTATCAGGGAGCTTTGGCAAGAGGATTGGCTAGATCAGCAAGACATCTGCACCATGGAAAAACAACGTGAAGCTCATCTCTATGGATGGTGAGTCAGTGTCATCTTCCTACCTGAAAGATCATGCTAATATTATTTCATGTTTGTGACGATATCAAATAGCAACTTGATTTAACTTTGTTTTCTAAGGCACTGTTGGGATATTACATCATGATAGAGTCCAGAGGGTAGCACACAGCAAGTTGGTTTAACTTTGTTTTCTGAGGCACTGTTGGGATGTTACATCATGATAGAGTCCAGAGGGTAGCACAAATATGAAAAATAAAGGAAGCAATAATTTGTTGTTTAAAAGTAGCTCAATTAGAGGAGGCCAGGAAGTGCCATGGTGGTTAGGGTGCTGGACTCCCTCATGTCTGACCACAGTTCAAGTCCTGGATCTGGTGGCTTACTTTCTCACTATTCCTCTTTCTCTTCTGTCTCTCTGTCTCTCTGGTGAGTACATTTACTCTATAGCAAACTTAAAAAAATAAGTAAATAAATAAAATACAATAAAATAAGGAATTAAAAACATGTAGCTCAATTAACTTTCTCTCTCACCTCCATTCTCATTTCCATATAACACATGCCTATTTTTTCATGGGAGAGGTGTGTGTATGTGTGTGTGTGTGTGTCTGCATCCACATGTTGGGTGTTTTTAGACAGGGGTCTAACTGCCTCAGTCTCCTAAGTAGTTGGGATTACAGGTGTGTGCCACCATGCCTGCCTTTTTAGGGTGGACCAGAATGGAACCTGGAGAGCAGCAGTTAGCATAATGGCTATGTCACTGGACTCCCATGGGGTCGACCGCAGTTCGTGTCCCAGACCTGGTGTCTTAAAACACGCCAGGTTTGTGTGCGTGCATGCCCAAGATCCCAAGAAGAGAATGGAGGAAAAGGGATT